ACTTAGTTTCAGTGATGTCATATTGTTCTTTAATTTAGCCGGAATAGCAAGCTGCTTTCGATCATCTGTACACGTGCCATTTAATTTGTGTATTACACAAATCTTTCCACGAAACAGACAGCTTTAAGTGCAAAAGGTGCGAAAGTGCAGAATCACTCCAGCATCCCCTTAATAACTGCGATAGAACATCGAGGCTGGATTAACTTCAAATGTGATCTTTCGTCGACTGTTTTAGTGCAAGTAAATGTGACCGTCTGAGTTCGATTCGTCCAATATTAGATAGCAGTTTTAGCATCAATATATAAAGGGTTTGCGCACGCACCCAGAAAACGGATTTACTATTGAAATTGTATCTAAATTTTTATCTACTTGTACTAAAACATTTGCTAGGCTTGAAGAAATCGATACGAAGCCTCTTGGAGATTCCAGTCTCAATCAAATCAAATTTTGATTAAGGTAAAGCGGTAAGTTGTTCGAAATGAAATAAAAGTCTGGCAAGGTCAAAATTGATTTCGAACAAACTCTTTTCTGGGTGCGTAAGACTCCAGCAATTGCAGCTTGGCAGGAATAACAAATCAGTGTCTTATACGCGCTAACGATCTGCAATTAAATAATGAAAAATTGAATGTCGCTTTCTCATTTGATAAAAATAATACGGGCCCGCTAAATTTATTGGTCTAATTAATCGAAGGTCGCTAACGATCTGAGAATACGAATTGTGAACAAGTGTAATTGCGGATGAACGTGTAATTAGTCAGGACGATTGATGATCGGGGTTGAGATTATATCGTTTCGGCGTTGAATAAACGGGCAATGTACCATGCTAACGGATACGCGAGATTAATTTCATCCCGAATATTTATGCCGTGGTACAACGGCGGGTCAGCGATTGGCGTTTAAAGCGCTCGTCTGGTGTTCCCACGCATTGTCCGGCTGGCACGAGAGGCTGGAATTAGGCTCCGTAGAGGCCTACCTAAGAGCGATAGAAGTTGCCCCAGATGTGGAGCGATATTAGACTATTTCACCGGAATGTCGTCGCCATCCGCCACGTTAGCAAAACACACCCACATTCGTTAACATTGGAACGGCCGAGAGTTGATGACTGCATAGGACAATAGCGTCCTATTTCACGAATGAAATAGAAGCGAGAGAGGAAGAGTCAATCTACGGTCAATGTGAGGAGCTCGGAGATCGAAAATAAAAAAGGGGAAATTTGACAGTCCGCGCTGTAAGTATCGAAATATGAAACGAGACCTCGCGGTTAATTGGCACGCATTTTCCTATTGTCAATTAATTTTACTGTTAAAGAATTTCACATTTTAACAAATGTAAAACTACTTCTATTTTCCGTGTGCTATTTAAATAAACAAATTCTTTAAGTATAATATTCATTTTAACAACAAAAGAGAGGATTTATTTTACCGTTTCTTCCTAAAATTAAACTTTCGAAGGAATTTCGCATCTTGACAAATACAAAACTATTTCTATTTTCCGTGTGCTATTTAAACAAACAAATTCTTTAAGTATAGCATTAATTTGAACAAAAGATGTTTTAAAAACAATTTTTAATACCGTTCAACTGGAGAAAAATTAAGTTGTTCAAAACTTATATCTTTCGCGCAGAAAAATTAAACATTCAGCTATGCAAACGTGAAATGGGTGTCCATTTACGAGGGGGGGGAGGAAGGTGGTCGATTTGGGTCGAAAGTAAACGAGGTGCAGTTGTGATTTTCGCGCTGCATGTGCTTTACGATTCCACAAATAGACCACAAATAGACGGTCGATGAAATAGCGTTCAAGTTTGTTCCGTAGGAGCGACTTCTACAGAAATTTATCATCGGAGTGCGTGCTTTTGGTAGCGACAACTGATTTTCGCGCTTATGAATCACCGCGCGAGATGGTAGGAAGTGGAATGATGGGACACAAGTTGATAAAAACGACACGAACTATCGTCTAATAATACCAGAAAAGTGACGAATGGAACATCAGGAGAAATACGGAGAAAAATATATAGAAAAGAATTAAATAAAACAAAAAACACGCAATTTCAGCGAGCTCGTTATTTAAAAGAATTCGAGATTGTTGACTTCGATGTCAGAATCCCGAAATCCAAAATGGCGGTCCAAACATGGCCGACCAAAATGCAGAAAGCAGTCGGAGGCACGTGACGGTTTGGTCCCAGCGGTTAATGAACAGCGAAGAGGATCAAGGGGGATGTGCGGTTACCAAATAATTATCTCTACAGAAATTTTCTTCCGATAAAAGTGTTCTTCGACTTCCGTTGAAGCCACACATGCGAAACGATCGCGCGTAACGCATGGACAGCTGATTCCCATGAGAGTTGATCAACGCAAATAGATTACGTAATCACAATCCTCGGGCTCGCATCGAGTGAGACCACGAGCGCAATATCGACGGCTCCGAAAACAACCGTGGTAATCCGACCGGCGCGTAAAAATGTGCCGCGTAGAAATTGGCGGCGCGTGACATCAACTTCCGGTTCTCCAATTCGCGCGGACTTCGAACTTCGGCGCCTCCGTCGATCCCACCGTCGAGCTCACCGCGCGCCGTCTCCACCTGAGCCGATCGTCATTAGCGACCCTCTTAGCATTCGCGACGACCGGCGCGACGTGTCGTGCATTCCCATTTTCTGTCAGACCATCGCTTGATCGTAACTCCTATCAACCCCGCGAGGACGGGCGCGTTTTTTGCCGAAAGGGTGGCGCGTCGCGGGCACGGAATTCGCGGTGGTGCGCGATACATTCCAAGGACGTTTCGCACTCACCACAGCCTCGGCGATCGGTATCCACGTGGCGGCGTGCACCAGTAGGGCAAGGACGCAGGTGAATCGCAGGACGAGCGGGACCGGCCGCGAGATGCCGCGGCTCGCGTCGCCGATGATTCTTGACGTCGCCGCGGCCCTGGGCCGCATCGTGCCGGCCTGGGGTCCTCCGCCTCCTCCGCCTCCTCCTCCTCCTCCTCCTCTTCTTCTTTACCCTTCGATCAAACCTGCGGTGCTGCGGACGTTCCCAAGGGTGGCCTCACCTCCGGTCCTTCCTTCGCTTCTTCTGGTCCCCGAGAGAGCGGTGCCCCAGAGTCGTTCTCGTTCGCCTCAAAGGCGACGACGTGCGGCTCGGCAGTATCGCGCTGAAACCGCGCCGCTGAGCTCGTCGCCGGCCAGCCTGTCGGCACACCGCGTGTCGAAGGGCCAGACAGACGGCCCGGTTAGCCCGTCCTCCTGATCGCTACACACAGACGGGCGGACACAAGGCAGACCCGAAGGCGGCGGAGGAGGTGCTCGCTCTCTCTCTTCTCTTCCTCTTTTCTCTTTGTCTCTGTCCCTCCCACTCTCTCTCTCTTTATCTCTCTCCTCCTCCTCCTTCCGTCGCTGTCTCCTCCGGTCGGTTCCTCTCTCTCTCTCTCTCTCTCTTTCTCTCCCTCTCTCTCGGTTTTCCTCTCGTTCTCTCGCGCGCGCTGTATCCTTGCGCGCTCGTCGGGCTCTCGCGGCACGCTCGGCGGTGGCGCGGCCTCCCTGGTACATGGGCCCCGCTCTGCTCCCCGCAGCACGGCTAAGTTCCGTAAGCTCGGGCTGGCTCGGGCTGGCGGCTCGGAACCGGCACGACCGATACCGGTAGGGTCCCTCGCGGCCGCACAACAGTCCTCGTGCGACGCGCGACCGCGCGAGCGAACGGCTCGCCTCGGAGCCGGCCAGCGGTACTCCACCGTCTCCTCCTACTCCTCTCTTGGTCCTCTTTTCCTCCACCTCCTCCTCCTCCTCCTCCTTCTTTTCTCTTCAGCTGTTTCTTCTTCCCCTACCAACCCTGGAGAGACGGCACTCCGCGTTCGCTCGTTCCTTCCTCCCCTTCCTCTTGCGCACTCCCTCGCTCGCTCCTTGCCTTCTTCTTCCTCTTCTTCTTCTTCGCGGAGCCGGAGTTCAACCGGAGGCAGCCAGGCAGGAGACCACGCTCGCCCTCTTCTCGCAGGAGCGAGAGAAGAGGACAGGGAGAGAGGGGGCGATCCCCCGTCAACGTCGGGGAAAACGAGCGAGCCGAAGCGAGTGAGCGCGCGCGACGTCGCCCGTCGCGGAAGGCCGAGAGAAGGCACTCTCTTCTCGGCCCGGTCCTTTCGGCGGAGGAATTCTAGCTGGCGTGGCTCGGCGCGACCGCCGCCTCCACCTTCCTTCCTTCCCTCCACCCGGAGCCCATTCAGAGACCTCCCTGGATGGGACGGTCCGCACACACCATCGGTCTGCTCGGTGCCCGGTTCTGCGCGATATTTTGTGACTGCCTCATCTGTGCGGTGCTCGGTGCTTTAGCCTGTGCTTCTCGGCTCCCTAGACCCATCGAGGAATAGGGAGGTCGACATGACCCGGTTGGGATTGCGGTGAGTCTCCTGCTGATCTCATTTTCTCCACGATTCCGCCGCGTTACCCCGATTCCTTCCCTCGGCCCGATTTCACCGACGGCCGCCGCTTCCTCCTCGTCCTCTTCCTTACCTCTTCCTCCTCTTCCTCGTCCCTTTCTTCCTTCGCTCCGGTGTTTTCTGTGCGATTCGTTTGGCCCGTCGCCGAACGGGCCGACCGACCTCGCTCTCTGTCCCACGGAGGGGGTAGTTTCACCCCTGTTGCGCGCAAGCTTCCGCGGTAAGGTGAGAGGAGGCCGCCCAAGGACGACCGCGAGTGGCGAGCTCGCAGGCGCGCGAGAGATCGTCCTCTCGGTGTAGCCTCGACGCAGCCGCGAATCGTGCGCCGCGCCTCCCGCGTTTCTTCATCTCGCGGGCGCGATTATTTCTTCTTCTTTTTCGCTCTGTGTGTCAAGTTCCTTTACCTCGTTGACGAATATATTTGCTTCGCACTTCCTGTCTCGACGTGACAGTTGAACCTCCGCGAGATCGGAATCGCTCGCTTTGTACTTTGACTTCTCTGCGCATTAGTTCGCGCGAATTTAACGTCAACTCTACTCGAATTATGTGCAGAATATATATATATATATATATTTTTTAAATAACATCGTAACTTTAAAAATTTATTTTTGCTAGAATCGAATGTGATATTAACGCGAGACATTTTGTCCTTTCAAATTCTTTTCTATTTTCGCGGCTTTTCCATTCCCCCTTGTTACTCCGCTTATTTCCGCCGCGTGATTCGACGCGCATCTACACAATTGATCGGAATGAAATCCCGACGCAATTCTGCTTTCAGATTCGTCGCATCCGCAGTTTTCCTGGCCGGGATTGTTAGTGGGGTATGTAAAAGTTCCTGATACGCTTTCGTTAACTCGCGAGTGATCGTGCGATTATCAAACGCCGCGGCAGCGTGTATCAGAATTTTTTCTCGTACTCTTCTTACGCGTGTCCGTCTTCCCCGACGAGGAAAAGTACACGATGTAACTTTTAATAATATCCTCCCAGGCGTAAGACATCCAGTTGCCATTTTAGTATTTTCGAAATGCCGTGCCGACTCGTTTACGATCTGAGGCACGGCTTTAATTATGATATCAAAATTAACGATATTCACAATCAGAATCGACGTAAGCAAATGGTCGACGACACCGATTTCGCGTTCGACCGATGGTCTCGCGAGTAGGAATCATCGGGGAAATCGGCCCATAGTCGCGAACGTAGTTTCGGACGTGCTGTTTTCACGTCGTTATGTACCTGGTACCTGGGCGTGTACCCGCGATCTTGCGGCACGTCGTGCTCGCGCGACCGGTTCGACTCGCTCGTGAGTTATTTCGTTGGTCCATTCATCAGTGCGTCTCGCGCGCGAGATGCACGCGCGCTCCCGACGCGCAGCACGGCGCACTCGCGACACGTGCACCCAAGCTACGGGGCGCGTTGCTCGCGTTGCGACTCGTTGTTCGCTGAGAGAAGCTAATTCCGAGGGATCGAAAGGGATCGAGTTTCAGCCGATCGGACCGTAACTCGATGTGGTGGAAGCGCGCGCGGCTGGAGAACATCGAACCTACGGGGAGACATTTTATCGCAATCGCCGCACGTGCGCACCCACGCGCATTCTCTTCTTTCCCCGAGATAGAGAGACATTTTAAAAAAATTGCTTCTCGCGTCGTATCTCGCGATACGCTCGTTAGAATTGGATCGGACGATACGCGATGGAGCGGGGGCTGAGCGATGGCGGTCGAACTTTAATTCAGCTTTCGCGCCGTTGCGTCGTAGCTATATTTCGCGTCGTGTTGTTTCATTTGTTAATTTCGGGATCTCCCATGTGCGCGGGTTCGGGCGCGAAAGCGATACTTGACGCGTTGCATTTCGCTCACATGTGAAATGTCATAAAAGAGGGAAGGCGGGGAGGGGAGGTTCGTGCAAGTGGCGGGGTCTGTATTTTAAGCGTGTTACTGCCCGGCGATAAGAGTCGTTTTATGGAAAATTACCAAGGCGCGTGACAAATATAGCGATGATTGCGGAGAACGTAATAAAAGTGACCAGGATTTCGCTAACTCGGTCTGAGCTAATTGGTCCTTGCGTCGCGCTTACATAGAGACGACGGAGTTCGCGAAGACGAAACACTCGATTAGGCTCGCTTATCCATTGTTCGATTACGCAATCTGACATCTAACTTTTTTGATTGCGCAACAGATACGATAGATGTTTTTTCTTTAGTAAATTTGCATCGATCAAGAAGCTCTAAGAATGTTACTCACGACCAAAAGTACTAAATGAGCAGCGAGTGCAATAATTTTTTCGTTTAGAGCAGATTTACATGTTTAGGGAAACGCTGAAATTTTCTAACACTCAGATCTTCTCTCTAACAGTCAATCACTGTTTTTGGCGACAAACCACCGATCGATCTTTAGAGAGTGCAAAGTCATTAAGAAATGATCGAATTAAAATTGTTGTGACTCAACGAAGCGTTCACGTTACTTCGTGCGATTTACATAAGTCACTTTGGTAGCTTTCGTCGCTGGCGAGGGGGAAACCGCTGAGGGCATTGCGATGTACAGATTTGCGGCATTACTGGACTTTTTTGGGCATTAGTTTGGGCATTATAAAGATAAAATAAGATGAAACAAGATAAATGAGATAAAATAAGATAATAAGACACAGTAATGCCCACTGAGCATTAATGGGCATTGGTGTACAAGATTTTGGTCAGCGGTTTCCCCCTCGGTCGCCGGTGACGACTATCAGACTTCTGTCATATCTATTCGCGCCGCCCTTTCGCAACCTTTCTCCGACCCAATTCCTCGGAATCCTCGACCGCAGCTAAGTAACACGGTAGGAAGCATCAGAGGGATCTGTTCGTAAAGTGACGTCAGCAGAGAGCGCCTCTGCGCGCTGCCTACGTCATGTCTAATAAACCACAGACTGATGGACAGTTTACGCTAATACGCGCGTCTCGTAAAAATTCGTAAACGAGCGCAAACGAAACAACGGCCATTTTAACGGCTTCCCGTCTCAAGCGTACGAGAAGCTATTCAAACGCGCGTCGGAATACCTAGAAGCGGTATCTACGGGCATTCTATTACGGGGGGAGATTCATCTCTCCCGTGAGAGATAACGCGGATCGTCCCGAAGACAGATGATCAATAAGATCACGAGTTTCACTATCGCATTCCGGTCCAGTTCCCCGCTGCCACGCTGCGGGGCCCACCGCGTTTCCTCCGGGCGGCGCAGGAACGGGAAGGTGTTAGATCCGAAATAGGGCAGTCGTCTCTTACCGACCAGTCCGCCTACGGCGCCGTAACCGCGCTCTCGCTGTAATTTTATTACCACCGGCCACGTACGCGCACGTGTACACGCACCGTGCACGCGAGCCCAGCTTAGTCACTACTGGAAATAGTCGGCAATCGAGCGCGCTCGGGACTCGACTTGATTTCCCCGAGTCTCGCAGACTCGTCGGTGGCCCCGCGGGGGCGCGCCGGGATGAAACAACAACAACCCCGTCCGGCGCCTGATTTCCCCGCTTCCGTTTCTCGCGCGGTTTCGCTTTCGCTCGAGGATTTCTCGCGTGAGGCCGGATCTAGATGACCGAATGCGGATCAACAATTTGATGAGTCGCTAATAAACGACACGAAAACACGTCGATGCCTTTCACGATGTCGTCAATAGAGCATAAAGTTGTAAATATATAAAAGAGCACGATTTGAAGTGAATCGCTTATTAGCGACTCATCAGATTGGTGATCCGCGCTTGGTATCTGATCCGAATTTGATCACCTTACCCTGCGCGTTAGTAAGCCTTGAGGCCGAATCAGACCAGCAATCGCTGACTCGGCTTGGATTGCGATTGGCGACTAACGATTGACTTCTAGCGAATGGGAGCCGAATTAGACTGGCAATTGCTGACTCGGATTGGATTGGGATTGGCGACTAACGATTGTCTTCTAGCCAATGAGGGCCGATTAAACCGCTGGCTGCTTTGCTCTTATCCGCTAAAGGACCATCGTCAATTGCCAATTCCAGTTCAATCCGAGTTAACAATTGCTGGTCTGATTCGGTCTTTAAGCCGTAAGAAATTGATCAATCATAGGCGATTATTCTCCTCACTTGCGACGGTGATTGGCCAATGTCCTTTAGGCTTAAGACTTACTACGCCTATTGTAGACCCGGCCTGTGTCCCACGATGCTACAACTTGGTCCAAGTTCTGGTTTCGAGAAACGCGTAGCCAATCAACTTGCAGGCTATTTCATAAGAGCTGCGAGTTGATCGACTACATATTTCTCGGAACTAGAACTTGGACCAGGTTCTAGTCATAGACATAGTAAGAATATACTGCGCGTGCTCTACATCTCCCGTGTTGAGGACATGTACAATACTTCAGACCGAGGTAGCTGACAGTTGAGTGGTCGCCACATCTTTGTCTAATAAATAGCGGGGGTAACAGAAGAGCAAGGGGAATGATAGAGGGTGGCCACTCGACGTATGCTGCCTCTTTCTGAAGTTTTTACACCGCTTGAGCCAAACGCCCAGTCTATATATTATACGTCTCTGGCTCTAGCATCGTGGACACGGGCCTTTAGACACACGGAGGGGAGGGAAGAGAGGTTTCTCGTTGCACGAAACTCGCTGATCGGCGATTTTGTCGCGCTAGTCGTCGTAGCTGTGCCACGATTGTGGAGTTAGCGATTGTTTGTGACACTCGAGATTGGTGGAATTTGGACGACAACACGTTACTCTCGACGAAACTGTTTCCTTCCACTGTTCGCGCTGTAACGAATTATGTTACGAAAGAACAAGAAGCGCGTTAATAGCAATTAATATACCGATGTTGAAAATTATAAGCCATGCTCGTCTCTCTCTCCCTCGTTTTCTCTTCTGGAAAAGTTGAAGCGATATTAATATGCAATTTCCGGAGGAGGTTTCGAAAAAGATTCGTCGAAGATTGAGCGAGGGATAACAGGAAGTTCGCGCATTTTTATTACCAAGTATCCTCACATAAGAATCGCGATCAACATTTTACTGTTTATAAAGTCAACAAGCCCTGCATCGGCAGCTTTGACCTGTTGTTTAATTAATTGAATTGCAAATTTCCTCGCGTCCCTCTACGCGCCCCCGATAAATTCTCCGCTTGCTCCGACGAGGCAGATTAAAATCGGCGGACGCATCGGAATCCCGTCATCCGACGCCGCCGCGCGCATTTATGCTCATGAATACGCGTGGTGCCGCCTCGGGATCAGAAAAAATCTCGAGTAACGAATTAGCGTATGGCCCCGTCCCACGTAGAGTTTAACGTCAGCGTCGACCGCGGTCGTTAAGCGCGGCGGAATCGAACGTGACGGCGAAAGATGAAAAAGAGACGCGGGCGGGCCGAGACGCGCGGCACAGAAAAAGAAGAGGAGGAGGAGGAGGAGGAGGAAGGACCGGGACGAGAGGCAGAGAAGACGAAGAAGAAGGCCGTCGGCGAGGGGCGGGGGGAGGGGGAGGGGGGAGCAGGACAGAAGGAGGGACAGTCATCGCGGCCGGTCACAATGTGCTCCGCGTTGCGTAATCGCGGATTCACGAAGGCGGCCGAGATAGGCGATAAAAGGGACAATTCTTGAACCGTCACGAAAAGATATCTCGTATCTAAAATAAGAGAATTGGGTTAAGCGTTTCATTAAACGAAATTGCCGGCGAGCGTCGTGGACCGTTCCTCGCGCGAGCGAATTTCAATCAGCTGGTCTCGCAGGGTCGTTTGCTTCTTCAGCCAACGGTCCCTCGGACTGGCCGTCTTATCCGTCGTCGGCCGTCGATGTAATGGTTGCAAATCGTATCCGATCAGTATCGGAGCCTTGATTCGGCTCGA